ACTGGGACATATAGGGACACTGGGAGACATGGGGACACAAGGCACACTGAGACACTAGGAACACAGACACTGGGAGACATGGAGACACTGAAACATTTGGGGACACTAAGACACTAGGGACACAGACACTGGGAGACTAGGGGACCCTGGGAGAACAGAAATTCAATGAAACAAGTTATATATAATTAGTAGATATGAAATTGGGAGTTGTACAAGACCTTATTGCAGGGGTCACTGGCTGGGAGACAGACACTTAGGGAGACATGGGGACAGTTGTAGACATAGACATGGGGACACTGGGACACATGGGGACACTAGGCACACTGAGAGACATGGGACACAGACACTGGGAGACTTGGGGACACTGAGACACTAGGGACACTGGCTGGGGGACATAGTGTCTCCGTGTCCCAATGTCTCCCAATGTCCCTATATCTCACAACGTCCCCATGTGTCTCAGCGTCCCCATGTGTCTCAGCGTCCCCATGTGTCTCAGCGTCCCCATGTGTCCCAGTGTCCCCTAGTGTCTCAGTGTCCCCATGTTTTCCAGTGTCTCCAAGTGTCTGTGTCCCCAGGTCTCCCAGTGTCTGTGTCCCCATATGTCCCCAAGTGTCTCAGTGTCCCCTTGTGTCTGTGTCCCCATGTTTTCCAGTGTCTCCAAGTGTCTGTGTTCCCAGGTCTCCCAGTGTCTGTCCCCTAGTGTCTCAGTGTCCCCTAGTGTATGTGTCATCGTGTGTCCCCTAGTGTCTCAGTGTCCCCTAGTGTCTCAGTGTCCCCATGTGTCCCTGCTGCCTTTCCCCCCATCCCTCCCTTACCTGAGCTGCAGAGCTGCTGTCTGGACTCTCTGTGCTGTGTAGCTGCTCCCCCAGGGATCAGTGAGTAGTAGAGAGAGGCAGGGATATTCTGTAACTTCCTATCCCTGCCTCACTCCACACACAGTGACCCCTACTGGCCGGTGCTGGTATTGCAGAGTAATTTCCATTTATTCTGAGATTACCTGCATTTGTATTGCCGGTATTACTGCAATACCGGCATGGCCAGGCAGCCTCAAATACCGTCTGTGTCATTAAAATACCAGTCAGGTGGCAAACCTAAGAGTAGTGTGTAAAAAAAATTTTAAAAAAATTTCCAGCTCCATCAGCCCCTATGTTAATCCGGCCCTGTACATTGATACAATAGGGTACAATAAAAAAAAAAATACAATATTAATACACAATATATACACAATTTAACATAGAACAGGTAAGAAATATATAATTAACCATGACAGGTGCGTTCTGTTTTGAGATATGAAGAGAGGGATCTCTTAAAGTATTTTAGGTCTGGGGAAGATTTGAAAGTGTGCGGGAGGTCGTTCCATAATTGCAGCGCTCTGCAGGATAAGGAGGATCAAGTCGCTTTCATTTTGTATTGAGGTGGACTAAATAAAGTGCTGGTAGTGGATCGGAGGTTATAGGAGGTGGGAACAGCTGGGGAGTGCATTCTGCTCAGGTAGGGTGCGAGGTTCCCAGAAAAGCTCTTAAACACAAGGCAGGAAAGATGAAGGGTGCGTCTGGATTCCAGTGACAACCAGTTTAGTACTTTTAGCATATCACAATGGTGGGTCATGTAATTACATTGCAGCACAAAGCTGCAGAAGAAGTTATACAATGTATTACGTTTATTAAAGTGGGTTTGCGGTGCAGGTGCATATACTACATCCCCATAATCAATGATTGGCATCAGCACTTGCTGTACAATCTTTTCCTTTACTGTAGGGCTTAGGCCGGATTTGTTTCTTTACAGGGCACCTAGTTTTGGATAAAGCTTAGATGCAAAATTATAAATGCAACACTTGTTTTTGCCCCCATTTGTCATGAGCTGTACTCAAAGATCTAAGACATTTTTTGTGTACACAAAAGGCCTATTTCTCTCAGATTTTCACAAATCTGTCTAAATCTGTGTTAGTGAGCACTTCAACTTTGCAGAGATAATCCATCCACCTCACAGGTGTGGCATATCAAGATGCTGATTAGACAGCATGATTCTTTCAAAGGTGTGCCTTAGGCAGGCCACAATAAAAGGCTACTCTAAAATTTGCAGTTTTATCACACAGCACAATGCCACAGATGTCGCAAGTTTTGAGGGATCATGCAATTGGCATGCTGACTGCAGGAATGTCCACCAGAGCTTTTGCCTATGAATTGAATGTTAATTTCTCTACCACAAGCCGTCTCCAAAGGCAATTCAGAGAATTTGGCTGTACATCCAACCGGCCTCACAACTGCAGACCACGGTAACCACACCTGCCCTGGACCTCCACATCCATCATCTCCACCTCCAAGATTGTCTGAGACCAGCCACCCGGACAGCTGCTGCAACAATTGGTTTACATAACCGAAGAATTTCTGTACAAACTTTCAGAAACCGTCTCAGGGAAGCTCATCTGCATGCTCATCATGCTCATCGGGGTCTCGACCTGACTGCAGTTCATCATCGTAACCGACTTGTGGGCAAATGCTCACATTTGATGGCGTCTGGCACTTTGGAGAGGTATTCTCTTCACGGATGAACCTCTTTTTCACTGTACAGGGCAGATGACAGCGTGTATGGCGTTGTGTGGGTGAGCGGTTTGCTGATGTCAACGTTGTGGATCGAGTGGCCCATGGTGGCGGTGGGGTTATGCTATGGGCAGGTGTATGTTATGGACAACAAACACAGGTGCATTTTATTGGTGCCCTTTTGAATGCACAGAGATACCGTGATGAGATCCTGAGGCCCATTGTTGTGCCTTTCATCCATGACCATCACCTCATGTTGTAGAATGATAATGCACGGCCCAAAGTTGCAAGGATCTATACACAATTCATGGAAGCTGAAAACATCCCAGTTCTTGCATGGCCAGCATACTCACTGGATATGTCACCCATTGAGCATATTTGGAATGCTCTAGATCGACTTATACGACAGAGTGTTCCAGGTCCTGACAATATTTAGCAACTTCTCACAGCCATTGAAGAGGAGTGGACCAACATTCCACAGGCCACAATCAACAACCTGATCAAGGGGGTGGGGGGGAGCGAGATGACGTAGCAAGATGGCTTGGCATACGCAAGCTGCGTCCTCGTGGAGTGTGGCTAAGGGAGCTGTCGAAGAGTGCAGCGGATGACCTGACATACCTGAGAGGCAGTGAAGCAGGGAGCTGCATTCCATGCCGGATAGAGCTACAACCAGCTACTGAATAGAGAAAACCCAAGGAAGCAAATTCCATGTGTGTATAATCAGTGTGAACCCATCACACTGACATCAGGAGAACAGCAAGCTGCAACTAAACTGTCCCGGAGCATATCTTCTCAAGCTAAGTGCCTAATGATATATCACTTGTAAATACACTTTTAGTCTCTGGAAGATTTTTTTTTTTGTATAACTCTATCTCCTTATACTCCTCTCCTATTTTTTCTAATTAGTGTATTAATTTCAATACCTCACAAAGCTGGAATAAGGCAGTGTGAAACAGAATAAATAGGCATAACTGTATATCCGGTTGGAGAGGTGAAGGTGATGGGGAAGGTGTGGAGGAGACGGGGTTCAGGGAGAAAGGAATGCATGACACAAAAAGAACATTACAAAAGCCAAATATACTATTTAACTAAAGACCTGATAATCTTCAGAAAGAGAGTAAGCAAAATACAAATGGCTACTAAAAGATACAAAATGGCAAGGAAAAAAAACTTGAAAATAAAGCTTTTTTTTTTCACTAAACCCAACGGGTAATAAGTCAAACCTGGAGGAATCCCTCCTCTCAAATAATCCACTAGAGGTAGGCGTTAATAAAGGGCAAATGGAGGAAAACCAAGAATCAAGTGAAGGAAGAATTGAATATGACCATTTACTAAGACATCTGGACACACAATTTGGGAAACAGAGAGAAAAATCCAAATTAATACTCTGGATAGTAAGAAAGAACTGCAGACTTTGAATACACGAATCCAAGGTATAGAAGAAAAACGAAACAGGTTGGAACAAAAGGAAAGATTCCACAAAGAAGAGCATTTAGCTCTGGAAAAATAGATGGCTGACATGAAGAACAAATTAAAAGAACTAGAAGACCAGTCAAGACAGAATTTAGAGGAATATCAGAACAAATAAACGCAAAAAATTTGGAGTCATACATAGAGGAGTTTATTAAACATCTGAAAGTGGAATAGGACGCCAGAATCCCTATGATGGAAAGATGTCACAGAGTGAATAAACCTATGGGGGTTCCAGACCACCTCCCAAGAGATGTTTTGAAAAGTTGCGCTTTTTATAAAATTAAGACGCAAATACTGAGAGCCATAAGACGCAACAAATGTGCTGAAGAATGCAAAACACTGAAAATATTTCAGGACTTGTCATGGCCAACCAGACAAAAGAGGAAGACCTTTTTGGAAGGCACATCAATTCTGAGACAGAATAATATTAATTACTGATGGGGGTTCCCCACGAAAATTTTCCTATCTCAAGAAGGGAAGATCACTCTCATCAATCATGCAAATGATCTAAAAACTGAAAATAAAATCAGGAGTAGCTCCAATCACTAGATAAAAAAACAGCAAAGTCCCAAATTAACCTAAAATAAATAAGCACTTACGACATCCAACCTCCACCTCCTTCTTTTTTTTCTTTTTTTCGTTATTCTATACTGTGACAAATAGTACTAGTAGAGAACGGGTCAACCTAATGAATAGGTCAAATTCGTTACGTAGGGGAAAAACAATGATAATAGAATGTAGAATATATTCGGAAACTGATTAAGCTTGCACTTGGTAAGAACACCAAAGATAGATACACAGGCAACATACACCAACACAGGGAGGAAGAAGGGAAGGAGAGAAAGAAAGAAATAAGGAGAAAAGGGAAATTAAAGATCTTTACAGAATAAATAGACATAACTGTATATCAGGGTGGAGAGGTGAAGGGGAAGGTGTGGAGGAGACGGGGTTCAGGGAGAAAGGAATGCATGACACAAAAAGAACATTACAAAAGAAAGAAATAAGGAGAAAAGGGAAATTAGATCTTTAATTTCCCTTTTCTCCTTATTTCTTTCTTTCTCTCCTTCCCTCCTCTTCTCTCCCTTTCCTTCTTCCTCCCTGTGTTGGTGTATGTTGCCTGTGTATCTATCTCTTCCTATTATTTTGAATAGTGTGTTATATAGTTTCACTCTAATTAATGTGAGCCTTTATATAGAGGTGATTTTCTACATTTTGTGAATTGGTCTTCTTACCAAGAACAAGCTTAATCAGTTTCCGAATATATTCTACATTCTATTATCATTGTTTTTCCCCTACGTAACGAATTTGACCTATTCCTTAGGTTGACCCGTTCTCTACTAGTACTATTTGTCACAGTATAGAATAACGAAAAAAGGAAGGAAATTGCACTATTTAATAGAGAAGTAAAATAAAGAATAGCACAAGAATAAATAATAACCACAAAAGGATAGCTAACAATAAGTTAAAAGGAGTATAGGGTTTAGATATATAGGGTTTACCCTTGTTCCTACCATTTCTTTCCATGATACACTATTTGGTTAAAGCTGTTCATTTCCGTTTATTTTATTTCCCCTTCCTAGTAGTGCCTTAAGGTAGGCTCACCCTAGATCGCCTACTCTCAGCACACTTTTCCCATACAAGTGGGACCGTTATCTGAATAATGGTTTTCATTACTCAAGATACTGTATGGTGTTTTTTTTTTTTTTGCCATACATCACGTTTGTCTTAGGTTGATTCCAATGTTTGGGATCAATTCGTCTTATTTTTATGTAATCGCCAACAAAGATAGTTTTTTTGTTTTGATCATGTCTATGGAAACTCTTGGAGAGAGAGAGTCTCTAGAACTGAAAGAAAATTATAAATTAAGTTGACCTCAATAAATGCCCAGGGGATCAATATACCATGTAAAAGATCTATAATCTTAGATTTCTTAACAAAAAATTGGGTACAAATCTGTGCACTACAAGAAACCCATTGGATGAGATCCAACAAAAATACAATAAGTTCAACAAGATACCCCATCATTATAAGTGTGGCCTTAGAAAATAAAAGAAAAAGAGGTGTAGCATTTATTTTTGTAAAAATTGGTTCACACATTATTAAACATCAAGAATTAGACCCACATGGCCGATACATTATTTTAGTATGTGAAATAAATACCAAGTTATTTACACTAGCTAACATTTACGCACCAAACAAAGCCACAACAAACTTTATTTAAAACATATTTAAGAAAATAGAGCAGATTAAGCAAGGGTTAGTGCTAAAATGGTGAACTTAAATTGTGTAATTGACCCTTTGAAAGATGCAAAGAGCCAATATGATGGGAAAAGCAGGAAAACAATGGAGAATAGAATGCAAAATGGATTGAATAATTATAATTAGATATATGGAGAGCATTTCATCTATCTGACCTAGACTACACATGCTATTCCAGAACATTCAACTCTTATTCTTGGAACGATCTTATCCTGGGAAACGTGACCATGCTATATCTTGTCAAAAGAATAGACATACAGGATATAGCATGGTCAGATCACAGCCCTATTATGTTGGAATATGAAGACAACTTTGATACTTTTCGCAAAGAGTGCTGCATAAACGATTTTATACTACACAAAAAAAAATGTTAAAGAAATTAAGAAAATAACAGCTTTTTTTTTCTTAGAAAATAAAAATAAAGGCACACCGCATATCACGGTCTGGTGCGCTTACAAAAGCAAAGCTAGAGGCCACATGATAAAAATGGTAGCCACCGCAACCAAAAAAGAAACAATGACCCTCTCCAAATTACATATAATACTAAGTAAATATATACAAGGCAGAATAAAATAACACCTTCCACACACATAACAAGGAAGATTGCAGAAACAGAAAAACAGATAAACAACCTGGTAATTAACACAGCAACTAAACAGCTAGAAGTACTAGAATCCAAGTGGTATTTAAAGGGAAATAAGCCAGAAGCACTAATGACCAACAAGTTGAAAAAAGAGAAACTTAAAAGAGCGATATACAAAATAAAGGATAAAGATACTTATCTAATGGCCCCAGAAAAAAAATAGGAAGTGCCTTTGAAAGATTTTATCAGGATTTATATAACTTACCAGAGGAACTATTTGGTAGGGAAAAAGAGAGAGAAATTATTTGAAAGCATAATTATGCCAAAAATCCTTCCCCAGACAGCTTTACAAACAAATTCTACAAACTATTGAAAGATCAATTAAAAGGGGAACTAACTAGCATCTTTAACTACATAATGAAAACAGTATGTTGCTGTTGAGAGCGTATATTGTCCCCATCGCAAAAGCAGACAAAGACCCAGAACTGATTGGCAATTACAGACCCATTTCATTAATCAATACCGCTATCAAAATACTATCCTCTATTTTTGCTGAGAGATTAAAAATAGTAATACCACAGTTAATCAATAATGATCAAGTAGGTTTTACTCCAGGGAGGTCCTCAATCAGCAAAATAATAAACATACTAGAAGAAACCGAGAACAATGGAACCCCTCTAATGTTACTGTCAACAGACGCAGATAAAGCGTTTGACAGGTTTGGATGGGGTTTCATGTTGGCCACCTTAAAATAATTTGGAATCACTGGATTAGTATTACAAGCGATATCTGCTCTCTACAGCTCTCCATCGGCAAAGGTAACAAGGCCAGATTTTACATCACAAAATTTCAATATTAAAAACGGGACTAGACAAGGGTGCCCTCTCTCCCCCTAATTGTATATAGTGGTGTTAGAACCCCTTGCAATTTCAATAAGACAAAATAACAAAATTAAAGGTTTTACGAATGCAGTAGGACAAATAAAATTAAATATATACGCAGGCAATATCCTACTATCATTAGAAGAACCAATCATTTCGGTCCAAGAGCTTCTAAAGGAGATAGGTAAATACTCTAAAGTCTCAGGTTATAAAATGAACCTGGATAAATCAACATTTATTGCTAAAAATATGAACAAAAGGTTAACTGACTTTTGTACAAAACATTGGGCTCCCCGAAAATAAAGATAGGCTAAAGTATTTAAGTATAACCCTAACTTCTGATCTGAAAGATCTAATAGAAGCCAACTTTTTACCTCTACTAAAACAAAGAAATAAAATCTTAAGGGATTGGAAAGGTTTGGGCTTTTCCTGGTCGGGCAGGATCAACATCTTAAAAGCATATATTTTACCAAAATGGCTGTACTTATGGAGGATAATCCCTCTAAATTTACCAGAAAATTGGCTATCTTTATTACAGAACATTTTGACTAGGTCTAGGCAGGATGGAGGATTAAGGGGTGCCCAGAAATTTCACAATGCTACCAGGCCAGCAGGTTATTTCATATACTGCTTTCACAAAGCAAGGTGGAAACTCAAGAAACCTGGTACAAAATGGAAATAGATAAAACAGGGGTAGAAAACCTATCCTCACTTAGATAAGAATAAAACCTTTATTAAAGAGTTGGTGGGACAAATTTATAACTAACATAGGACTCAGACATAGAATAATAGATGTGCTCCTAATCTCCATCATTCCCGATATGTTAGATAATATTAAAATAGATACTTGGACAACCGGCGGGTTAAAGGAATTCAAAAACATACTAGTAGAACATAAAATCAAGTCCTTCAATAAAATTATGGAGAAATGTAATATTCCCCCAAAGAAACCTTTAATTATCTGCGAATTAAAGGCTTCATAGCAGAATTCCTCCTTAAAAACAAGGGGGAGAGAAATATAAATATTATACAGCTACTTGAACTAAAGAATTCTAAAAATCTGTTTGCAAAATGCACCAAGGTTATATATAGTTGGAGACACGACAAACCAATAGAACTAATTTAAAAATGGAAAAAAGAATTGCAAGAATTGCAAGTACATATGCCAGAAGAAGAGTGGATAGGTTCCCTAAACAAATTATGTAAATATATACATTGTCAAACCTTACTGAAACACAATTCAAACTCTCAAACATATAAAGAAAATTTTCCCAGAGTCATCAGATAGATGCTGGAAATGTAAAGTTAATTAAGGCAATTTGATCCATGTATGGTGGCAATGCACACCCATAGATATATTTGGGAAAGATGTAATCAATGTAATATATCAAATAACTGAAATGAAATTAGTTTTAAAATCTGAAGTGGTCCTGTTAAACCTGAACTTGCCAAAAATGAAAAAAATTAAAAATAACACACATATTAACACATAACACATATTATAAGGCAGCTAAATTACTTTTAGCTTGAAACTGGAATACAGGGACAATCCCATGCACCCAAAAATTATTCACACAAGTCATATGGCAGGCAAAAATGGAAAGGGGTATCTTGGTGAACCTAGGAAACGGATATACTCAAATAGAAGACTGGGATACATGGATGAACAAACTGGAAATATCTACCTAATAAACAGCACATTAGTGTCAAAGTTCCTCTCGAGACAACCCTGCTTCCCTGATTCCTCCTTTATTTACTTTTTTTTTTACATTTATTTATTTTTTATTACTATTATTTTTTTTCTCCTCTCTGAATATAGTGTGTAATAATCAGCACACTTCACATCCAGCTACAGAGAGGAGACGAGGAAACGAGATGAACATATAGAATTCCCCCAAAAAGGCAGATAAACATATACAAATGTATTTGTGATATAAAGGATGTAAGATGAGCTCTCTCTCTCCAAAGCAAGCAGGGAAACCAAGTCTGATAAACAGGGATTCACAATAGGATTTAATTATCAGGGTAGGGGAGGAAGGGGGGGGATTGGGGTGGGACACGGGGAGTTTAACATGAAACACAGAAACACTTAATACATTTTAGGAGATATAAATGATGACAAGAGTACCCTGAATCACAGAAGCATCAGCAAAAATAATACCAGGCAGGTACATGCCTGAAATATAACAAACAAAACAACCTGATCAACTCTACTCGAAGGAGATGTGTTGCACTGCGTGAGGCAAATGCTGATCACATCAGATAGTGACTGGTTTCCGGACCACCCCGGATACCCCCAATACAGTAAAACTGCACATTTTAGAGTGGCCTTTTAT